TTATTGTTAGCAGTAATGCACATATGCCTAGTGTGATATTGTACAAACTAACATTTAATATGTAGATTAGCTTGGCAGCATTATTAATAAAAAAGGTTCATCCTCCTTCTCTCAGTCATCTTTATAATGATAAGGATATCATATCAGTCATATTGTATTTTGCATACAACGGAAGTGAAATAAACATTTAAAAATGTTTTTCTTGTTTGTACTACCTTTCAAATTCATAAACTCGGGGAAAAAACGAATTAATGCACACATATACATAGACACTCTCTCTCTCTCTCTCTCTCTCTCTCTCTCTCTCTCTCTCTCTCTCTCTCTCTCTCTCTCTCTCTCGCTCGCTCTCTCGATCTCTCTTCTCTCTCTCACACACACACGCACACACTCTCTCTCTATCAGTTTCCACACCCACTCACTCTCTCTCTTTTTCTCTCTCTTTCTCTTTCTCTCTCTCTCTCCCTCTCTCTCTCTCTCTCTCTCACTCTCGGTCTCGCTCTCGGTCTCGCTCTCTCTCTCTCTCTCTCTCTCTCTCTCTCTCTCTCTCTCTCTCTCTCTCTCTCTCTCTCTCTCTCTCTCTCTCTCTCCCTCCCTTTCTCTCTCTTTCACTCGCCCTCACTCCCTCTCCCCCCCCTCTCTCACTCTCTCTCCTTCCCCTCTCTCTCTCGTAAACAAACTTCTATTAGCGGCTTACCATAGTAGTCACAGCGGGTACTTGCATAATGAAAATAGATCCAGGGAGGCCTAAAAGATAAACACATTCTGCTCACACCAACAAGGCCTAATGAAGATTGAAATTATGATGATAATACATGTGTATCTTGTTTCGTTAGTAGTACTAGTGATACTATACTTTAATTAGTATTCTTACTACTATTACTGTTTATACTAGAACTAGCAGCAGGAAAACGGTAATAATGTAAATAACTGAAATAATAGCGACAGCAATGGTGATGATGATGTTAATTGTGATAGTGATATTAGTAGTAATGGTAATAATGGTAGTGGTGGTAATAAGGATAATGAAGGAAATAATAATGATAATAATAATAACAATGAAACAATTACTACTACTAATATTAATAATAATGATTATAATATTGATAAAGGTGATGGTAATGATAATGAGGACAATAACAATGATAATAATGATGATAATAATAATGATAGTAATAATACACAATCTGATATGGATATTAACAATAATAATGATACTTTATCATTATCGTCATCATTATCCTCGTTAATGATGATAATGATAGTAATAAAAAATAATAATCATCGTCATTATCAACAATATAGTAATAATGATAATCATAATGGTAATGCAAATCAACGTAATGATATTATGTTTATCATTATTATCAATACCGTTATCATTACCATTACTATTAGTTTCATTATCCTGAATTAATCTTCTTGTTTTTTGAAGATGAATATATGATATTGGCTCTGAAAGACAGGAAACATAATCAAACAACAGTAATAGTGAAAAACGTTTTT